TGTCTAAATAAAGCTGAACTCCGGGCACAAAAACTTTTATTTAAGTATATTCCTCAATAGCATCAACACTGGCTATAAATCCCCTTGGTGTGCACCAAATCTCTTTGCAGAGCCAGCTATTACTTTGTACAAGCAGCAGTGACATCATCACTGGGCTGCACATAGCCTGAGCAGACAGCAGAGCTGTGGGAGGGACTCAGGAAACTACAGGAGCGGGTGGAGACGAGACCAGTCACCCTGAACAAGGAGAGAGAGAGCACTGAGCGGTCTTTATTACAGGAGGGGGGCGGAGACATGAACACTCACCCTGCACAAGGAGAGAGAGCAGCAGTGACTGGTCTTTATTACAGGAGGGGGACGAGACAAGACCAGTCACACTGCACAAGGACAGAGAGCAGCAGTGAACAAGCTTTATTACCGGAGGGGGGCGGAGACAAGACCAGTCACTCTGTTCAAGGACAGAGAGCAGCAGTGACCGGTCTTTATTACAGGAGGGGGGCGGAGACAAGACCAGTCACCCTGCATAAGGAGAGAGAGCATCAGTGAGTGGTCTTTATTACAGGAGGGGGCGGAGACATGACCACTCACCCTGCAGAAGGAGAGAGCAGCAGTGAGCGGTCTTTATTACAAGAGGTGGCAGAGACAAGACCAGTCACCCTGCACAAGGACTGAGAGCAGCGGTGACCGGTCTTTATTACAGGAGGGGGTGGAGACATGATCGGGAACCCTGCAGATGCAGAGAGAGCAGCGGTGACCGGTCTTTATTACAGGAGGGGGCGGAGACATGATCAGGAACCCTGCAGATGCAGAGAGAACAGCAGTGAGAGGGCTTTATTACAGTAAGCCCCAAGTTTTGAACACATCTGGAAGAAATACACAAAGATCACCCCGGAGTTCAGCTTTAATACATTTTAATGGATGTTGCTGATGGAAGTTTAAGGAGCCGCATTCGTATTTATTTAATTAATTCCTTTCCGCAGTTCGGCCGCCCAGCCCGGTGTCCGGTTTCCCAGAATGATAACTTTGTTCTTTCATTCACAAAACATTCAGAATTCTGTCTTTTTCACGATAAAAATTAGTCCGTTGTGTTCGGAAAAACCTAAAAAAAAAAAGTCTTCCCCGCAGCAGAAACGTATTATCAGCCCAAACAATGTGTTTTCTGCCCTCACAGGAAGCCGTGGAAAGTGGTGATAAAGTTACTAGACTTCAGACATCCCGTGTGACATGGCCCCATGGACCACCGAGATCATGAATAGTAATATTACACTCACCACACTTTGGTATATATATATATACTTGGTGAGTCAAGGAAAAAAGGACCAAGTACAAAGAAATGTGCATGTATCATAGACGCGTCCTTTCCAGGAATTGCATCCTAACAGTGTATTAAACCCTAACTATGATCTTCTCTTATTTGTCCCGTTTTAGTCTGTTAAAGTAGAACTGGGACCAAAACTTTTTTTTATTTTTGGATAGAGTAAGGGAGTAAGTAATCACCCCCGTTGGCTTTTTTTGCCATCTGCCTCCATATTGAGATTTCCCTTCACTTCTTGTCTTATAGCCAGATTGGGAAGTGAATGGAAATCCCTCCAAAGAGAGAAAAATCCCTGCTGGTCACCAGAACCATTGTCCCCATTGGAAAATTTCCCATCTATATCTATTCCTGTTCCGGGGGCAGTTATATGACATACTCAGGTGTATGTCATATAACAGGAATAGATATAGATTAAGATTCCAGCATTGGGTAAGAGCAAAATTTGGCTGCGATGAGGTCACTGCTGGTAAGTTCTATTAATGACTTTTAACGGGCTGACTTTTTTTTTGGTGATAGTATTGCTTTAAGAATTATTCATTTATAGCCCTCAATCTACAGACTTCAATTACATATATGGGCATCTATGCTTTAAAGGAGAACTATGTGGTTAAGGCTTTTCCCCATAGTTCTCCTTAGGGTAACGGGTGGACACAAACTAGCATCCTCCCGTCACCCTAGGCTCAGTATATAGGGAGATGTAGCTCGCGGTATACTGAGACGCCGCAGCTGAAGCAGATCCCGACGATTGTGCCGGGATCCGCCCAGCTGCGTGAGTGACAGCTGGCTCTACCTATCTAGAGGCAGAGCCAGCTGTACCCGCCCCCTCCCCCGTCTGTTCCGCCAGTCAGCGCTGGCGGATCGGAGCGGGTAGGGGGGAATCCAGCCCCTCCTCTGTCACGGCAGAGAGCCATGACAGGATCGAGAGGTGAGCGAACGCCTGTATGTGTTCGCTCACCTCCCGATCTACTGAGCCTACCTGTGACAGTCTCATTGTCACAGGTCGGCTAGAACTATGAGGGGAGTGAAAAGCACTCGCCTCATAGTTCTCCTTTAAATATAAGGAGCCCTTTATAGCACCTGCCTGACACTGGGTGAAGCCTTTTATTTGCTGATTTTATTTTATCACGTTTGTTGAGTTTCTGGTTTGCATATTTCCCCGATTCATTTTGCTTGTGTTGTGCACGTTCAAGTTGTCCTTCTAACAGTTTTTACAGGCAAAGCTACTTTCATGTGAAATGAGCACTTCAGTCTTCACCTGGGTGAAAAGCACATTTTGGAGCGTGAATATGAAAATGTTTGCGGTTCTGCGATACTATGTGGGGGAGCCGTGCCAAGAAGACGCTTCTAATGCCGGTCTGCTAAATGTTTACAGAGCATAGGAAAGAGTTGAGCTCCCACTACAGCTTACTCATATTCTGTCTGGAGTGGGAGTTGTATGTAGCGCTTATTGTCACACGTCGGCATCGGACTATGAGGTTGAGTGAAAATCACTCCCCTCATAGTTCTCCTTTAAGGCATAAATCAGTTGGTACGGTTTGATCACCCACTGCAACCAACTAAAACATTTCTTACCTTGGCCATCTTGGTTGGCATGGGTTACGGCACTTTGCACACGGCCATCGCCCTTAGTACTGCGCTATTAAGTCAAAGAAGAAGTCATTTTTATCACGCACAGCGAAGGGATTCATTTTATTACAGTTAAGTGAAATCCACAACCAGATCTCGGAAACAAACTGGTACCAGAAGATGTATCCTGCCAGTAGCTGATAGACTGTGAACGTGCTGATAATGAAGGTTATCATTTTTCATTGTGGTTTGTTGGATGGACTGCTGCTGTGTATAGCCCACACTCCCGCCTGTTCTTTGCCATTTGATAAATTAAACTGGTTATAATAAAACAAAAGAGGCTGGCATACTCATTGTTCACAAAAAGACAACACGCAGGAGAAAATTTGTGAAAGGTTTTGCCCAATTTTGCGATTGCTACATTTCCTGTTATACAAGAACCCTGCAATCTTACCAACATTTAGTGCCACCACCAGCTAATTTAACAACAGTTGCCCACTGAGTTGTCTGTTGGGAAAAACATAGAAGGCCACGTGGACTATCTACAGCCTGGGACTGTAGGTAGCTGGAGTTATGATTGGGTTCCAAGATGTGGAATCAGTCCTAACCATAGTTGACCTAGAACTGGTGACCGATGATTCTAGGAAAACAATGGTCATCGCAAGGGTTGAAGGCCCTACAGTGTCCATGGCTTATGTTATAGGGACTGAGTATCTGGAAGTGGAATGAGGAAAGGGTCTTTTCAGTTATTATATCCACCAGTGTATTGCCGACTGCTGATCCAGGCAGGTTACTCTCCCGGTATTTATCTAGTGTCCAGAAGCAAGCATGACACCCAGAAGTTTTGTGACTCCCCAAAGCACTGTACCCCTCTTACACCCTATATCTATAGAGCCATTGCCTATAGATATAGGGTGTAAGAGTGTACAAAAAGATATGAAGTTGTTTGTGCCAGCAACCAATGTGTACGATAACCGTGTAGAGCATTGCGGGGGAAAGAATCGTGTTGCCTTTTCCATTGGTTACTAGTTACTCATAGTGCCCAGAGAACATAGCTGAACTGTCCAGGTGTGTCACAGAGGAGGACCTATAGGGTGACCAGGCAAAATTGACCCAATCTGAACCCGCCGTCTCTGCAGTTGACTTCTACAGATGTAGAGGCTTTGGACTAGACATGTAAGCTGCGGGAAAATTCGGTTCGGTTCAGATATTTTGTTATTCGGTTCGGGTTTTGGACGAAACCCAAATTCTCATTCGTTTAGGATGGGTTTAGGAACAGCACAGAAAACCATATACCGATATTAATACCAAAGCTGAATCTCCTAGACCCGAATGGCATTCTGGATCCGAATTTATGAATTGCATTTGAGAGCTCCCGAATGCCATTTGGGTCTGGGAGCCTTAGCTTTAGTAATATATGTATATGGCTCCCAGACCCGAATGGCATTCAGGAGCTCTCGAATGCAATTCGGAAATTTGGATCCCGTATGCCATATACATATATTCCTAAAGCTGAGGCTCGCAGACCCAAATGGCATTCGCGATCCAAATGTCCGAATTGCATTCGGGTCTGGGAGCCAAATACATACATTACTAAAGCTGAGGCTTCCAGATCCAAATGGCATTCGGGAGCTCCCGAACGCAATTCAGAAATTCGGATCTGGAATGCCATTTGGGTCTGGGAGCCTCAGTGTTAGTATTATAGGTATATACTGCACATAGTGTTTTCACTGGACACAGGAATGCGAAAACACAATTGACGCCATACAACCGATCAGTGGCTATAGAGCCGCTGATCGGTTGTATGTGAAACAGCCGTTAACGGCTGTAGTAACGAGCGGTTCTTTCCTGCCCGTGCGCGCGCGCTAGGGGGTGCGCGCGAGCAGGGAAAAAAATGCCGTCTGGCGACGGCAACCCGCTGATGAGAGTCTGCCGTCCGTCCGTTTTTTCTTAACGGGCGGACGGCAAGAGGTTAATGTAAAAGCAAACACACCAGTGACTCTATCACATCTATCCCTCAATAAACACACATACACACAATTTATTTGGTACATTTCTGTATATAAAAAAAAAATATTTATTTCCATACTATAAATAAAAAGCAAAAAAACAAAACACATTATACGGTACAGTAAGTATACAAAAGCCTTCGAGCCATTTCTGTGTTGCCGCTACTCTGGTAAATGAGACCTAGATTGAAGGCAATGTCTCTCCTTAGGTCCACTTGGTCCTCTTCAATCCCCTAAAAAGGTAAAAAGATATTATATATAATTGGCCAGTATATATTTGTAGACAACAATGCAGAGTTGTGTTGTCTGGACAGTAATGAAACATCTGGCTGAGCTCCAAGCTCTGATCCCATTGGCGATGGCTAAGAGCTAATCCCCACTAAGTGCTGACTGAGTGGTTACAATGCACAGAACGCATATGGAATGCATTCCTAAAAATGTTCCAGAACCATTAGTGCAGGATCTTCCCTTCCCAAACCCCCGGGCCGATGCCGATTACCCACCAAGGCATGTTACCCAACCATAAAGTTGATGCCCTGCAGAGAAGTCATCTAACATTGTGTTTTTTTTTTACTCAACTTTTACTTTTCTTTATTATTATGACCTCATAATATGTTTCTGTGATTGCGCTGCATACATTTGTCATTGTACCTGTAGCTGAAGTGGTGGCAGCTCCAGCGCTCGCTTGTAGTAATGAATAGCAAGGTACGTCAGGCCCATTTGGTGCAGGGCACGTCCGATATTGTAATAGGTTTCCTGGCATGGGCCCCGCAAGTCGAGATAGCGATTCAAAAAGGAAAATCCCTGGAAGCCAAATGAACCAAAAATAATCATTTTTATTTAAATCAAAATAAAATAAATAAGAATGCTTACACTCATTTTACAATATATTGGAATTCCATCATATGGCCATTGACATTACTGCATAAGAGCATTTCTCAGCCTTTTTTACAGTTGCGGCACGCTTTAAAAGGATGCTGAATCCCGAGGCACCCCAGTCTAAAATGTCAGATTTTAAGTAGGGATCCCATGTAAAAACACAAAACACAAGTAGGGTTTCCCCTTTATATCAGAGCCCTTCACATCAGGGGCTGCAGCTCCTTTTCTGAATGGATGCCACCCCTCCTTGGATTAGCGGCATTCATTTCCATGGTGTTGACAGCAAACTTGCCTGCAGCATGGAAAGACTTGATGCTGTAGGAACATTTTTATTTATTTTTATTGTTTCTTTCTTTTTTATCCCTTTTTTTAATTTTATTATTTTTTTTACTTTTTTACATTTTTTTAATCTTATTATTGTTCATTTATTTTTTAGTTATTTTCTTATTTTTTAATAATTTTTTACTTTTTAATCACCTTTTTATGTATTATTTCTTATTTAAAAAAAAAATTTCACTTAACTTTATTGCTATCACAGAGGAGCTAGCTAAGAAGCCCCTGTGTGATAGCAATTGGAGGTGACAGGTTCTCTTTATTGACCCTGTCACCTCCAATACATGAGTTCTAGCACAGCGCTGTGCTGGAACTCCTGTGACAGGTGAGACGGGAAGAGCACAGCTCTCCCCTCTAACTGTCTACTCTACAGTCTACACGGAGCGGCATGGTTACTTTTAACCCTGCCGCTCTGCTCCCCACATCGACGGCAAGTGAGGAGAGACTCGGCGGCCGGAACCAGAGGAGAGAAGTAAGTGAGGGGGGAGGACAAACAGGCTGCACAGATTTTACAAGTGATTGCGGTGACATCGCCGCAATCACCTGTAAACGTACGAGCGGATTCCCCACAAGGCAACTTACCCGCCCGGCGCCCAGAACTGTATGTTCCGGGCGTCGGGGGACTCCACACCGCCGCCGCCCCTCTGCGCCCTGCCGTCCCCGAGGCTGGGCCTCCGTGGCCTTGTGGGAAATCCGGGCCTGGATGAATGCCCATCATTTCCAGGACTATGTGCTATCATGTTAAATGATCCCCAATAATGAAGTATGGCCACCCCAATACCAGCACACGAGCAATGTAGGAAGTGACGGTAGAGTTGCCTCTTCTGGCCGATGTGCCAAAAAATACCTGGCAATGCATATAGTTTTTGCCACCTGAGGCTGTCGTTCTAGGGGGCAGTGGTGGCGTACTCTCCCCCTGATTTTTCGGTGGGCAGGGGTAGATGGGGGTGCTCTTCCTGATTTGTCATTCGCCGAGCTGTCAGCTGCTCTTTCCCACGTCCCGCCCAGCTCACTGATGTCACTGGTTGCCAGGAGCGCAGAAGGACGCCAGCCCGAGCATCCCGCTCAGCTCTCCAGTTGACATCAGCGAGCTGGGCCAGACTGTCAAAAGCTGCTGAGACGCTGTGGCCAAACACCAGCCCCCCCATGTTCTTAAAATTCTATGCTTTTATAAGTGAAAAATACCTGTACAAGGAGAGCGTGTCTTTTTAGCACAAACTTTTGCGACGCCATATGAATGTTCACCCTGCACAAGGAGAGAGCAGCAGTGAGCGGTCTTTATTACAGGAGGGGGCGGATACAAGACCAGTCACTCTGCACAAGGACAGAGAGCAGCAGCGACCGCTCTTTATTATAGGAAGCTCCAAGTCTCAATCCGAAGGTACTTTGCAATTTTCGCTATTTCATTTTTGGCCTCTATTATTATTTGATAAGGTAAAGACTCGCTTTAAGTGCAGGGTGTCATAGACCCGCCCCCTCGGAGCACCAAACTAAGTGTAATGATGCAGAGAACGGCATCAACTTCATCACCACTCTCTTCATCATTGGTGACCATTGGAAGGAGATAAGAAGAGGATCTTAAACATCACATGACCGGTCTGAAGATGAAGGTAAGTATACAGAAATATATATATATATATAAAAGGTACAATAAGGGAGGGGACCTGGACCCAGTACTTGGCCTTTAAGCTGCTTTGATCATTGAGTTTAGAACTTCTGATTCATAAAAATAAATGATTGAAGATAAATAAAAATAAATAAAGATCCATATTTACCGAGAGCGTGCTTGAAGCTTCCAGACACGAATGCGTTGTGACCACTAAGGACGCACAGGGCAAGATTGTCGGGATTTTTAAGCATGAGTCTCAAGCAGAATCGATGGTGCCTCACGTCCTGAGAATGCATCGTGACTTGATTGAAGATGTTCCAGAGCTGCGGCCGGTTCACATTTTCCATTAACATCAGCCTGGAAAAAACACAAAAACCACAAATGAGGAAACAGAAATAACCAACAAAATGACATAATGTATCTGAAACCTGAAAACATTAAAGCTAATCTATATAATCTGTAATGGCAGATCCAGTTTGATGAGCCTGTGCTGTCCTCCATTACTGGATATAATATAATATATATATACACACACACACACACAGTATATATATAGTTTAAAATAAAAAATATAGATAGATACAGTAGATGCCGCACCTCGGCATGCAGACGCTTCTACAGACATTGGTGAAAGAACGGGTCGCTCTCAGGAGCTCAGTGACTACAAGCGTGGTGCCGTGATAGGTTGTCACCTGTGCAATAAGTCCATCCGTGACATTTCCTGGCTACTAAATATTCCGCGGTCACCTGTTACTGGGATCATAACAAAGTGGAAGCAACTGGGAACAACAGCAACTCAGCCAGGAAGTGGTCGGCCACGTCACATGACAGAGCGGGATCAGCGCATGCTGAAGCGCACAGAAGTCGCCAACTGTCTGCAGAGTCAATAGCTACAGACCTCCAAACTCCGTGTGGCCTTCAGATTGGCGCAACAACAGTGCGTAGAGAGCTTCATGGAATGGGTTTCCATGGCCGAGCAGCTGCATCCAAGCCGCACATCACCAAGTGCAATGTAAAGCGTGAGATGCCGTGGTGTAACGCACGCCGCCACTGGACTCTAGAGAAGTGAAGTGGAGACGTGTTCTCTGGAGTGACTAATCACGCTTCTCTGTCTGGCAATCCGATGGACGTGTCTGGGTTTGGCGGTTGCCAGGGGAACGGTACTTGCCTGACTGCATTATGCCAAGTGTCAAGTTTGGTGGAGGAGGGATTATGGGGGGGAGTTGTTTTTCAGGGGTTGGGCTCGGCCCCTTAGTTCCAGTGAAGTGAACTCTTAAGACATCAGCACACCAAGACATTTTGGACAATTTCATGCTCCCAACTTTATGGGGGGGAGTTTGGGGACGGCCCCTTCCTGTTCCAACATGACTGCGCAACAGTGCACAAAGCAAGGTCCATAAAGACATGGATGGGGGAGTTTGGGGCGGAGGAACTTGACTGGCCGCACAGAGTCCTGACCTCAACCCCATAGAACACCTTTGGGATGAATTAGAGCGGAGACTGCGAGCCCCTCCCCCAACATCAGTACCAGACCTCACAAATGGTCCAACATTCCCATAGACACACTCCTAAACCTTGTGGACGCCTTCCCAGAAGAGGCGGAGCTGTTATAGCGGCAAAGGGCGGAGCCAACCCAATACTGAACCCTACGGACTAAGACTGGGAGGCCATTAAAGTTCATGTGCGTGTAAAGGAAGTGTTTCTGCTTTTTATTGAAGTAACATGTCACAAGAGTCGTTCAGCCAACGTTTCGGGGTCACACAATGTCGCTCTGACTATGGGACCACGCGTGGCTGACTATCACTAGTGTCTGTGAAGGTTCTCATTCATCCGGGTCATGGTATATCTGTAAAAAATAAATCAAGGCACCTAGACTGGCTGCATTTTTCTTAAAGACATATCGCTGGTCATTCGACTAGCTTTCTGAATTGAGAAAGAAAAATACAGCCAGTCCAGGTGCCTTGATTTATTTTTTACAGATAGTTCACATGAGTGTGTGGGGAGGGTGGTGGTACACTTTAATTTTCCTTGGATGCCAAAGAAAGGGAGGGGGGAGGGGTAAGGTGTTGGCCAACCAGCATGCTCAGGGCTCATAGAATGTGTATGTTGCTCGTTGTGCAGAGCTGTGTAGTAATTACTCAGATTCATAATAGCTCTGCTGTTATCCTTTCATTGGTATACATCACAGGGGGGGAGGGGAGGGGGATGTCTGCTGTCCAGAGCACAAATATGTCGCTGTTATCTCAATCATCTCATCTTCAGTTCTGGGAAGCTCCTGGAACCTCAACAGAGGAATCCGGGAATGTTAATAACAGTGCATGGATATGAAGTGGCCGGCACAACGTTCGAAGGATGATCTCAAAGGGCCACATGGTATAATCCTAGGGGGCCCGACCCACTTCATTAACCTCTTCTGTGAAGGAAAAATAATATATAGGAGGATCCCATTCCTCCAACAAGTCACATGGGGAAGAACTTATATTCGGACCTGTGTGGGACTTCCCCTCGGCACTTCATAGTTGAGGAAGTTGAAAGCCCAACAGCTAAATACATTCCAGGGGCACCGAAACAAAAGGTTAGGCAAGGCAACCAATGGCTGAATAGAGAAGCCTATCCTCTGCCTGCACGCTGCTGAGAAGGACCATTGCTCCCTGTTTGGAAGCAGTGGCCTCTCTGCAGAGCTCCAACATCCCCCCTGCTGAGTCAGACTTATAGCTCTGCAATCTGCAACGCTCATTTTCCATACTGATTGGAGAGCACTAGTCAGACCTATAGCTCTGCAACGCTCATGCTCCATGCTGATTGGAGAGCTCTAGTTCTGACTCAGAGGAGCGTGTCAGACTTCTTCAGAGAGAACACTGCTTCTTTAAAAGAGGCTCACACAGGTCCAGTTTTTTGGACCTTTGGTCTGCTTTAAGGCCGATCTTCCCAATAGACAACTCTACTAGTTGAAAATGGTCAAGTCTACTACATACACTTGACTGTTCGAGGTCAAGTCTATGTAGTAGAGGCTGAGAAGGAAGCCCTTGCTATCTGTGTGTTCAACGAGGCTGAGAAGGAGACCCTTGCTCTCTGTGTGGTCAACGAGGCTGAGAAGGAGACTCGTGCTCTCTGTGTGGTCAACGAAGGAGACCCTTGCTCTCTGTGTGGTCAACGAGGCTGAGAAGGAGACCCTTGCAATCTGTGTGGTCAACGAGGCAGAGAAGGAGACCCTTGCTCTCTGTGTGGTCAACGAGGCTGAGAAGGAGACCCTTGCTCTCTGTGGTCAACGAGGCTGAGAAGGAGACCCTTGCTCTCTGTGTGGTCAACGAGGCTGAGAAGGAGACCCGTGCTCTCTGTGTGGTCAACGAAGGAGACCCTTGCTCTCTGTGTGGTCAACGAGGCTGAGAAGGAGACCCTTGCAATCTGTGTGGTCAACGAGGCAGAGAAGGAGACCCTTGCTCTCTGTGTGGTCAACGAGGCTGAGAAGGAGACCCTTGCTCTCTGTGGTCAACGAGGCTGAGAAGGAGACCCTTGCTCTCTGTGTGGTCAACGAGGCTGAGAAGGAGACCCCTGCTCTCTGTGTGGTCAACGAGGCTGAGAAGGAAACCCTTGCTCTCTGTATGGTCAAAGAGGCTGGGAAGGAGACCCTTGCTCTCTATGTGGTCAAAGAGGCTGGGAAGGAGACCCCTGCTCTCTGTGTGGTCAACGAGGCTGAGAAGGAGACCCTTGCTCTCTGTGTGGTCAACAAGGTCACTCTGCAGATGACTGATATCCTTGCTCTCTGTGGTCAACGAGGCTGAGAAGGAGACCCTTGCTCTCTGTGTGGTCAACGAGGCTGAGAAGGAGACCCCTGCTCTCTGTGTGGTCAACGAGGCTGAGAAGGAAACCCTTGCTCTCTGTATGGTCAAAGAGGCTGGGAAGGAGACCCTTGCTCTCTATGTGGTCAAAGAGGCTGGGAAGGAGACCCCTGCTCTCTGTGTGGTCAACGAGGCTGAGAAGGAGACCCTTGCTCTCTGTGTGGTCAACAAGGCTGAGAAGGAGACACTTGTTCTCTGTGTGGTCAAAGAGGCTGGGAAGGAGACCCCTGCTCTCTGTGTGGTCAAAGAGGCTGGGAAGGAGACCCCTGCTCTCTGTGTGGTCAACGAGGCTGAGAAGGAGACCCTTGCTCTCTGTGGTCAATGAGGCTTAGAAGGAGACCCTTGCTCTCTGTGTGGTCAAAGAGGCTGGGAAGGAGACCCCTGCTCTCTGTATGGTCAAAGAGGCTGGGAAGGAGACCCTTGCTCCCTGTGTGGAAGCAGCAGTCACTCTGCAGATGACTGATATGTCCCCTGTCAGAGTCAGAGCTCCCCAATCAGCAGGACAAACATGCTTTCCTAGTTGCAAATCTATTGGTCTGGCTCAGGAAGGGGAGAGTCAGATCTCTGCAGAGAGACCACTGCTTCCACAAGGTTTAGCTAATAAAAATGCCCTTTTTGCAGCACAGTAGGGCACTAATGCTCATCCAGTCATAACAGAGGGGAATACTTACCTTAGGTCTCACTCCCCATGCAGCCAATGCTCTCATCCAACCCTGCCCCAGCCCTGGAATGTGGGCGGGAACTCGAGGGCCGCTGGTCCTGCATTGCACTTATCAAACAGATAGAACAAATATATAACAGACCAAAAGGGAGCCAATAGCAGAAGCTCATTCCTTGGGGACCCTTTAGGCTTAAACAGGAACTAGTTACATATTTCACAAAGCAGAAACTATTACTACTTTGGTTGTCAGCGATCGGATTCAGAAGGCACCTTATATAGTTGTACGCTTTTCGGAAATTCCTGTCCAGGATAGCAGTGGAGAGACCAAAATATTCCAACTCTTTCCTTTTCGGTCGGTCGTCGTAAAACGAGTAATATTCCAGGGAAGAGTCTACCAGCAGCTCCCCTTCCTTGAACCGGGCGAGGTCACAGAGGGCGTAGATGGCTTTTAGAAGGAGGTTCCACCAGTCTTCCTTGTTCAGCACGCTGGTCAGTACGGTAAAAATCGCTACGGGAAAAGGCAAACCCGAAAACCCATTCATTATAGGAATTTAGCCCCTGCCCCCCAAGGAGCTTATCTTGCCACATGTTCTCTTTCGTGTTTACTCCTGGGTGGGACTTCTTCAGAGGGGGTGTGGCATAAGTGATCTATCTGGTATACTAGGGCCAATTTGGACAGGAGCCAATACATCTGCCAGAATGGAGTGTGGGAGGAAACCAGAGTACCTTGAGGGAGAATATGCAAACTCCATGTGAATGGTGCCCTGGGTAAAATTTGAACCTAGGACCACGGTACTACTAGGCAGCAGTGCTAACCACTAATGAGAACGGGTTGCATAAGCCTATTATGGGACCCATACATGTATAAATGACACTCAATAACAAGTTCAACAGCAACACAATAAAGCAAACTGAGGTTAAAATGTTTCCCTACAAAGAAAAGGAATAAAGTGATGTTATTCTTAAGTATAACTTCCTCTCCTGCTGCCCTCGGCTCTATTAAAGAGAGACCCCCCTCCCCCACCCCCCATACCGCCTAATAAAGTTAAGTTGTACAAAGCCAAAATGCCATACAGAGACATGGACATCTTGCCACATGTTCTCTTTTTTGTCTCTGCCTGGGTGGGACTTCCTCAGAGGGGTGTGGCATGTTGATGCCGCTATATAGCTCGGCAAACAAGGAGCCAATAGCAACGGCATCAAATCTTCCCATGAACAGACACAATAAAAAATATATATTTAGTGCCTTGATAGTTCCGTATATTATAATATAATAAAAAATGCATCTCCACAAGCTGTATACACCAATTGTGTCTTAGTAATATTAAATCTCGGTACGGGCAGTGGGACACAATGTAACAAATATCCCCCACAATATATATATATATATATATATAATACAATGCACACAATAATCTATTATTAGAACGACTGTCTCCATAACTTCCTATTCTGTGGTAATTACTGTCTACACGACTTCCTCTATCTCTCCAAATTTCTTTGGGAATGCCGATATTGTTACCTTAATTTAGTCGTAATATATATTAGGTATGGTGGTTTGATGGTTTCCACTTTATTATAATACCGCTAACAGGTGACCGTGGAATATTAAGTAGCCAGGAAATGTCACAGATGGACTTATTGCACAGGTGGCAAAGTATCACAGTACCACGCTTGTAGTCACCGAGCTCCTGAGAGCGACCCATTCTTTCACAAATGTTTGCAGAAGCGTCTGCATGCCGAGGTGCATGAATGTTATACACCTGTGGCCATGGAGGGGATTGGAACACCTGAATCCAATGATTTGGAGGGGTGTCCCAATATGTTTGGCAATATAGTGTATATTAATATACTCTATGACCACCTGTACAGTGAGTGAGGTTCTACATTAGGATCATAGAGTCTATCTACAGGACTTATATTTAGAGCTCAAAAGTGTATAACTAAACCTCCTATGTTCAAATATACTTACAAGAAACTGAATAGTTCCATTGATTTTTAAGGGATGATTCTAAGGTAAATACATTTATTACAGAGACATTACATATAGTGTACAGAAGGATGAAATCTGGTATGCGTATCCAGTGTATATAATAGCCATATGAACGTAATATGTTGGAACTATAAAGGAACCTTTGAATGTCAAAGATGTAGCTTTTGTCAATAAATGCATCAGTAGAATATACACTACAAAGTAAGTATTTTGTAAGCTGTGAAACCCTAGGAATGGCCTATCTCCTGCTATGCGAGCGCAATATGTTCTAAGTAGGAAAGACTAAAAGATTCTAAAGATAGAATTTCCATCTGTATGCTGTGAGTTCTTAAAACTTTAAGTCTCCTGTGGCCCGTCATGAAGGGAGTAGACATAAAAGGTAGAACTGATGGTCTCCACTTTTTCTTGGAAATAATCCATAATACTAGAAGAGGAGGAGATTGAGACATACTCCTCTTGCATGCAAAATGAAAGACAAAGTTCCAAGGATTGACCTTCTGTTGAGGAACCATCTACATTCTCTGTGCAAGAGGAGCTCGTCCTAATCTCCTTCTCTTCTAGTTTTATGGATTCTATCCAAGACAAAGGAGTGGAGACCATCAGTTCCGCCTATATGTCTTGACACTTCATGATGCTCCATGAAGAATCACTAGAGAAGAATGTAGATGGCTCCTCAGCAGAAAGTCAATTCTTGGAACGCCATGTCTCCTGTGGAGTGTCATGTAGTGTTTAGACATAAAAGGTAAAACTGATGGTCACATGCCCCTTTTGCACGGAGAATGTAGATGGCTCCTCAAAAAAAAAAAAGAATCCTTGGAACTTTGTGTCTTCCCTGGTGTGTCACGCATTGCCATGACATATAGGCGGAACTGATGGTCTCCACTCCTTTGTCTTGGATAGAATCATAAAACTAGAAAAGGAGGAGATTGGGACAAGCTCCTCTTGCACAGAGAATGTAGATGGTTCCTCAACAGAAAATCAATCCTTGGAACTTTGTGTCTCCTGTGGAACGTCATGTATTGTCTAGACATATAGGTAGAACTGATGGTCTCCACTTCTTCGCCTTGGATACAAACCATAAAACTAGAAGAAGAGGAGATTGGAACAAGCTCCTCTTGCACAAAGAATGTAGATGGTTCCTCAACAGAAAGTCAATCCTTGGAACTTTGTGTCTCCTGTGGAACGTCATGTATTGTCTAGACATATAGGTAGAACTGATGGTCTCCACTTCTTTGCCTTACGTTGAGTCATAAAACTAGAAAAGGAGGAGTCTAGGACAAGCTGTTCTTGCACAGAGAACGTAGATGGTTCCTCAACTGAAAGTTGAGAAACATCTTTGCAACTTTGTCTCCTGTGGAGTGTCATGAGGCATCTAGACATAAAGACAGAACTGGTGGTCTCCACATATATTGGTCTTGGAAAGAACAGGAGATTGGGACAAGCTCCTCTTCCACAGAGGATGTAGATGGTTTCACCCATTAAGGGTGTTTGAGGAACCAGGAATCAATGGAACTATTAGTTTTAGTTGTTTCTTGAAAATATATTTGAATGTAGGATTTCTGATTATAAATGTAAATATAAACCCCGTGTACAGACTTCATACCTTCACTCGTAGTAGTGGTGGTTATGTATTATTTAATATATACTATCAACCACCAAATCTAATATACAGTATATTAAGATTAAATCGAGGCAGCAATGCTGGCATTTCCAAAGACATTCATAACAAGTTAGAGGAAGTTATGTGGACAGTAGTTGTTATCACAGAATAGGAAGTTACATAGACAATAGTTGTAATAATAGATTACTGAGTGCATTATAATATACATGAGCTTGCCAAAAAAAAGTCACCACTGGGATTCAGCTAAGCAGATAGGTCAGAGCCTTCCAATTGATAAGTGTTATGATCTGGGGTGGCTTCAGTTGGTCAGGTCTAGGTTCAGCAACGTTATGTCCCCATGAGGTCAGCTGCTTCCCTGAATATACTGAATGACCAGGTTTTTCCATCAACTGATTTTTTTTCTTCCCTGATGGCACATTGGCCATATTACAAGATGACAATACCAGGATTCATCGGGCTCAGATTGTGAAAGAGTGGTTCAGGGAGCATGAGACATCATTGTCACCCATGGAGTCCAGACCTTAGCCCCATTGAGAATCTTTGGGATGTGCTGGAGAAGACTTTACACAGTGTTTCTTCCCTGATGGCACATTGGGCATATTCCAAGAGGACAATGCCGGGATTCATCGGGCTTAGATTGTGAAAGAGGGGTTCAGGGAGCATGAGACATCATTGTCACCCATGGATTGGACACAGAGTCCAGACCTTAACCCCATTGGGAATATTTGGGATGTGCTGGAGAAGACTTTACACAGTGTTTCTTCCCTGATGGCACATTGGGCATATTCCAAGAGGACAATGCCGGGATTCATCGGGCTTAGATTGTGAATGAGAGGTTCAGGGAGCATGAGACATCATTGTCACCCATGGATTGGCCACCACAGAGTCCAGACCTTAACCCCATTGGGAATATTTGGGATGTGCTGGAGAAGACTTTACGCAGTGGTCCGACTCGCCCATCATCACTACAAGTTGGTGAAAAATGAATGCAACTCTGGACGGAAATAAATGTTGTTACATTGTATAAGGTTATCGCAATGATGCCACGGCGATTGTGTGCCGTAATCAAAGCTAAAGGCGGTCTAACGAAATATTAGAGTGTGTGACTAAAGAACATCCAGAATGTGCCCATATGTATACGTAGAAGTACTTACACACAAACATCTAATCCAGCCTGTAGAGATATGTGCTATTATATTATGATAATATACGGACGTATCAAGGCACTCAGCCCAAGTATATTATTTTTTTGTGCCCCGTTCATGCTAAGATTCCATGCGGCCCTATTGTCTCCCTATGAAAATCAGTTCTGAGATTACCTCAATCTCCTTACCTTTTGCGTCAGAATTTACGGGCTCCTGTTCATCGGTGTCGGAAATTTTATCCCTCGACACCTTGATCAGATACAAATGCCTTTCTCCAGACTTGGAACTTGAAATCAAACATACCTGTGCTCGGTTCATTGCAATCTTGAAAGAAAAATAAAATAAACAAAAGTTAAAAAAAGATTAAAATGCCGATTTCTACCCCTCACCCACCTCGACCCACCACCACCAATGTTACACCCTTGTCCTGCAGCAAATCTGAACTGTGGATTGACTTGCCATTATCTGGCACATGGGATGCAGCACGATTTGCACCTCATTTCCCTAGGATGTGCAAAGCTCCTTCTGGGACTACATTACCCATGAGCAAGGTAGGGCTAGGTGCTGCCAGCCACTGATTGGCTAGATGGAGGCCATCACGCCCCAATGTAGGTTGAGCTGGTACAGCAATGCAAGCGTGACAATGCTGCAGTGCTTTGGATAGTAACGTTGTCACCATTTCAAACAAAATGCATCAGAAACAGTTCTGCTGACAAGGATTTTTTTTAAAACATTAAAATATTTGGGACAAACTGAATGGGCAATGTTAATCCTATTGGCAGCCCAGAGAATGGATCCCGACGTCCAGGTCAGGATCCGCTCCGGCGTCTCAGTATACCGCGAGCAGCAGCTTAGGGTGACGGGAGGACACTAGTTTGTGTCCTCCCGTTACCCTAAGGAGAACTATGGGGAAAAACACTGACCCCATAGTTCTCCTTTAAGAGCTGAACTCCAGGTGGGGAGTTAAAAAGACAGATGAATACATATATGGGAGCTTTCCACCCGGTCTTGAGATATACACAGCCCCATAGCACATAGATAACACCATAGTTAAGGAATAAAGTGGTGTGCCCGGGCTCCACCATCAGCCTGCTGATTGGACAGTGCAAGAGTAGTAGCAGACTGCTGAACTGAACTCTGCTAGCTCCTTCTTTCAGCATGCTCCTTGTCAACACATTGGCATGCAGACCACCGGATTGGCTCCAAGAGATTCCTCTCCATCTGCCACTCCGAAATCTTTTGTTTGAGGGATTGCAAGAGGCTGACACTAAAGCTGGCCATACAGGGCCAAGGGGTTACCCTGTCACCTGTGCTTCACTATTACCAGTTTCAATGTTTCCAGCTATCTGTGTGGACTACATAACTCAGTATATTTCGCACGAAGAGGGGATGTTCTGTAGTCCTGTTCTAGAGTGACAACACTGTGTGCTCATTGTGAGGTTGGTACATGGTAGCAGCATTGTAGGACTGGTGAAGTAATGTAAGAGTGATTCACGTTTCATTCACCTCCTGTGCATTCCACTCAATACCACATGTGTAGTTTTCATTGCGTAAGTCTTCCAAGGGGCTGCCAAATGTAAAGATCAAGTTCTGACTTCAGAATGGGAAACATGCCAATGAAAATGTATCACAGTCCCTTCCTCCATATGCACGTATCCCATGCAATCTTTTGGATGGCTCATGGATAGCTAAAGCACCTTGCATCACCATGGCTATAGATCTCTAGGTGTCACCTAGATATGGTTTGACCAGTTTGTTGTGGAGGAACTCAAATGACCTGCACAGAGCCCCGACCTCAATCCAAGTGAACCCCTTTGAGATGAACTGGAATGCCAGCCAGGTCTTCCCATCCAACATCGGTACCTGATCTCACAAATGGGCCCAAATTTCCACAGACACCCTTCGAAACCTTGTGGAAAGTCTTCTAAGAAGTGTGGAATTCCCAGAAGGTGGCAACTCCATATTAATGGCCATGGTTTTGGGATGGATGTCCAACCAGCTCATATAGGTGTAATGTGTCTGAGTATGATGACACGCCATAAACAAAAACATCCAAGGGACATTTAAGGTCCCTCAACCCTAAGCACTATGCTATTTACATCTAAAATAATGTAATTCTGGTTATCAATTACAAAAAAAATAAAACTATAGAAACAAACATACTTTCAACGTTTTCCAAATTTGACATAAAAGCTGTAAAATTAGAGTTTTTTTATCCAATAAACACTCACCTTCAGAAGCATGGCAAGCATTGTGAGTAAAGTATCCACATAGTCATACATTTTTCCCTGAGAGAAAAGGAGAGTTGACCGGTGGAGAAGAAGCTTAAGTTCCTAGGATGGAAAAAAAAAATGTACATTGGCTTCGGATCTAAAAGTAGTTTGGAACTACAGGTGATTTGGTTGTGAAGGTAGATTGGATGTGAAGGTTGCTTGGTTCTACAGGTCGATTTACTACAGGTGATTTGGTTGTGAAGGTAGATTGGATGTGAAGGTCGCTTGGTTCTTCAGGTCGATTGGTTCTACAGGTCACTCGGTTCTACAGGTCACTCGGTTCTACAGGTCGCTTGGTTCTACAGGTCGCTTGGTTCTACAGGTCGCTCGGTTCTACAGGTCGCTTGGTTCTTCAGGTCGCTCGGTTCTACAGGTCGCTCGGTTCTACAGGTCGCTCGGTTCTACAGGTCGCTCGGTTCTACAGGTCGCTCGGTTCTACAGGTGGCTTGGATATAAAGGTCGCTCGGTTCTACAGGTGGCTTGGATATAAAGGTCGTATGAAAGCAAATGCTACTCAACCACAGTCACCATCTACGCCATGATTCTATATGTGATTGTCTGAACTCAACTGACTGAGATTCATACTCTTTGGTGGTCCAAATCCGGTAACAAGGTTTTTATGGCCCGCTCTGCCCCAATTTAGAAGATTTCCCTCACTTTTTGCCCTGAAGACACTACTCCCAAATAAGAGGAAATCTCCTCTTTTACTGCTGTCTCTAGAACACGTGTTCCCATTGGAAGAATAAAGCAGAAATGTTCAGGTTTCTGAAGTAGAAACAACACAGCACCCTGTCCCAGTAATCCTCTTAAGAGCCCTCAGCCCTGATGCAAGCAGTTCACTGGTAGGAGTTATGCAAATCCCCAAATGCATTGATAGGAAGATGTCAGTCTGGAGGAGTGGGTGTGCTGTGTCAGTGTGGAGGCGGCCATCTTGGTAGAGGCAGGGCTTTATATCCTCATCTCAGGGCCTCCAGCAAGGAGAACAGTGAGCAGCACAGTAGTGACATCACCAAATCTCCTGGTATTAACAGTTAGAGGCAGCAGTGCCTTAGATGATGTCATACTGCCGATGAACAGCTTTAAGGCTACATAAGAAGAGTGCCTAGGCACAGGAAGTGCAAATCCTCACTTTTTTAGTTGGGGTCATGTGGCCTTCACTGTAAATACTCCGTTTCCAGATATGGAGGAGCAAGAGATCTCCAATGGTTTTGCGTTTCTTCCATCACAGTGGCCACCAATACACCCGTTGTTGGATCTCAGAGGGCGCAGTGACCTCATGCTAATGGCGGCTATGTTAAAGTGGATCTGGTATTCAGTTGTATTTCTTGAAGGAGTTCTCTGTGTTTTAAACTCGGGATGCACCGATACTGTTTTTTCAGTATCGAGTACCGATACTTTTTTTTTCGGTACCTGCCCATACCAAGTACCGGTGCAGTGTGCCCAGATTATCAGGAAGTTGGGTGGCGGATAATGACCTGTCGCCCGGAACACATCCCGAGGCTGCCTGGCTTTCTGACCAATCAGAAACCCAGGCACAAGTAATGAGCTGCTGTCCGGCTTCCTGATTGGTCAGGAAGTCAGGCTGCATAGCATCAGGTGAAGCCGGCTTCCTAGATAATCAGGAAGCCGGGCGGCACATCATGACCCACCTCCCGGCTTCCTGATTGGCTAGGAACCCGGCTTTACTTGTTCCTACGCAGCCTGGCTTCCTGATTGGAGGCGGGTCATGACGTGCCGCCAGTTTCCTGATTGGCTAGGAAGCCGGCTTTACTTGTTGCTAGGCAGCCTGGCTTCCTAACCAATCAAGAAGCTGGGAGGCGGGTCATAAACCACCGCCCAGCTTCCTGATTGGAAAGGAAGCCGCCTCCATGCGCCCTCGGCACTTGCGGTCAGAGGGACATCTCCCTCTGACCGGCAGTTCCGGTATGGGAGTATTGGAGTACTCGCCCAAATACTCGGTATCGGTGCATCCCCAATTTAAACAAAGTTTTGAATTTCAGCAAAAACTTAGGAGGACTTTTGGAGATTGGGTGACACCACACACAATGCTCCAACATTCTTTGGTCTGCCCTTTGACCGATACGGGCGTGATTCAAACACACAGACATCGTGCAAAGGATTCCAGATAACAATCATGACAGGCACCCATGTGATGTAATGGGAGTGTTGATACAATGAGACAGCGAGAGGATCTGGAAATAGGAAAAGAAGAAAGAGGAAAACACGCAAGTGTTAGGAAAGAGATGATGACAGACCGTCTGGGAAAAATGCATCTCCGAGGTGACATAATTACTATGTGTAAATATATACTCAGACCATATCCCATCAACTCATGAACACTCAGACGATAGTGTCTCAGTATAGTGGCTGTAGCATGCCGACTCATCCCTAGCCCCAATTCCCCCCAATGTGAAATGGTATGGTCCAAGCATAAACGACATTTACCACCAAACACCCCCCTCTAGATCATGTCTCAGCGGTATCGTTTTATATTATCTACTTCCTGTAGCAGGGAAAAGCTTTTAATATTCCCTGTAAGCTTGTAAAATTCTTGAATGGGCAACTGCTGCAAAGCCGGTTTCTACGGACATAGGCACTCCCCCAGAACTACATCTCCCAAAAGCCCTTTTCTCTAATAAACACGCTGTGTGGGCAGGCCCTTGGATGGTTTCGTTGGGAAACAAATCAATGTATGCATGTGGAGGGGGGGCATTGAAGGGCGGGGGAGAGGTGGAGCTCCGTAGTTCAGCAGGCAGGGCCGACAACGGATTGGGATTTCAGAGCAGATGAAACAGGAAATTGGAATCTCTGGATGTTTTTCTGTACTTGCTGTGTTGGTAACGGGATAAAACATTGGGGAATGTCCATCTACATCCTTGATTTTGTCTATGTATTATTTGCCGAGAAGCACTACGACATGTCATGTATCTGGTTTCAATTAGGGATGCACCGATACCTATACTAGTATCGGTGCCGAGAATTTGGGCGAGGACTCGTACTCTCCCAAATTCTCCGATGCCTAGCCCGATACTTTCTGTATCAGGAATCCAGGCAGCGAGTCATTACACGCTGCCCGGCTTCCTGATTGGTCGGGAAGCCGGCTCCATGCTCCCTCGTCACTTGTGGAAGCCTCGTCACTTGAGGATGCCGAGCACCGCGTAATGACGCGGCGCCCGGCTTCCTGATTGACCCGGAAGGTCAATTCACCTCAGGATGAGGGAGCACGGAGCCGGCTTCCTGGCCAATCAGGAAGCCGGGCTCCGGATCATTATACGGCGCCCGGCTTCCTGATTGGCCAAAACGTCACCTAGTGTCGAGAAGCATGGGGACGGCTTTCCTGCTAGTCAGGAAACCGGGTGGCGAGTCATTGCACGCCGCCTGACTTCCTTAATGGGACTTCCGGTATCGGTATTCGGTATCTGCGAATAACGGGGGAAAAAAATATCGGTGCTCGTACTCAATACCGAAATCCCTAGTTTCAATGGTAACATGTCTAAAGGTAAGGGAAAGAAAGATAACTTAGGTGAAACCATGTGGTCCTCCTACCTGCTGGGCAGCATTTGAATCTTGCGCTAATGTATCCGGGTCATACATTGGTTCTAAAGCTTCCAGTGCTTTCTCGGGATGCCCCAACTGTTGTTCAAGAGTAGAAAGGGAGATTCTGGCGTCCAAGTGTAAGGGAGCCATTTCCACCACCTTACTGTAGCTCTCTGCAGCTTTCTCCATGTGACCCAGAGCTTTCAGACAGTCTGGGAAAAGACAAAAGGGTTACAGCAGGGAGGATTGTTAAGACAATATGGTCACAGTCACACCGACGGTTAGCTGCGTCCAGTTTGTATGCAGCCAGAGAACGACAGCCCTGAATACACACTGTCTGCGTCCAGGGCCACTCAGAGGCCCTTATGTGAGCGGTTAAACGGAGACACTGGAGATGCCGGCCATTGATTCCAACAAGCTACATATCTGGCAACCAAGGCTCATTGTACTCAACTTGTGCATGGGGCGGAGAAACGTATGCCTCATTCAGGTGTTTAAAGCTGTACCTGTGAAAGAACAAATTGAAGTAAATACTTACCTCTCCTGCTGCCCATATCACTCCTCTGTTGAAGGGTCTTCTAAATCCTAAAAAGTTTTGAAAATAATAACTGCCGCAATCTGTGTGAGTGCATAGTATGTATGGAAGTATGCATGTATGAATGTTATGGACAACGTTTTTTTATATGTAGATTTTGCTATAGAAATGGAATCACGGGTGCGATAAATATGAGATTTTGTAACAAATAAAGTTTATATTTTTACAAGAAAAAAGGTCTCGGTCTGTTTAGTAACCATCTCTCAACAGTGTCCTCTCCTTTGAGAACACTGTTACCATTTTTTTGTCTTCTAAATCCATAACTTCTGGGACTGTTGACCTGCTATGTCCCCTACAGCGCTAAATCATCCTATATCTCTCAGGACTCCTGGGGCAAAACGCACACATGTGGCAGCCATTCAGAAGGGTTCCCACTCTCACCAGATTTTTAGAAGATAAGAAGCCAGTAGATGACTTAGCTCATTAGACTAAACCTACACTATATGACCAAGTGTTGATGGACACTTGACAGCCCTTTCCAAAACCATGGGCTTTTATATGGAGTTGGGCTCAGCTCCACTCTTCTGGGAAGGCTTTCTATACAGTTTTGGAGTGTGTTTGTAGAAACGCAACAGGAGGTGTGGCAGAAGGTCTTGAAATATGACAGCTAAATATTACCACTGGAGGTATAAGAAGCCAGTAAGTGACTTAGGTTGTTAGACTATACCCATACTACATGGCCAAGCTGATGGACCCTTACATGGTTACGTGGCCAAGTTGATGGACCCTTACATGGTTACGTGGCCAAGTTGATGGACCCTTGACATCCCTTTCCAAAACCATGGGCTTTAATATGGAGTTGGGCTCCTTTTGTGACTAACCTCCCCTCCACTCTTCTGGGAAGGCTTTCTATACGGTTTTGGACCGTGTCTGTAGAAACGCAACAGGAGGTGTGGCAGAAGGTCTCGAAATATGACAGCTACATATTACCACTGGAAGTATAAGAAGCCAGTAGGTGACTTAGGTTGTTAGACTAGGTCTATGCTACATGGCCAAGTTGATGGACCCTTGGCGTCCCTTTCCAAAACCATGGGCTTTAATATAGAGTTGGGCCCTTTTTCTGGCTCCAACCTCCTCCATTCTTCAGGGAAGGCTTTTCACAAGGTTTTGGGGTGCGTCTGTGGGAATTCGTGCCCATTCTTCCAAAAGAATACATGGTCAGGTACAGGTGTTGGATGTTCAGCAGGGTTGAGGTCAGGGCTCTGTGCAGGACACTCGAGTTCCTCCTCCAAACTGGTCACACCATATCTTTATGGAGCTGGCTTTGTACACAGGGGACAGTCGTAATGGATCAGAAAAGGGCCTTCACCAGACTGTTTCATACTTTTGGACATATCGGTAGATGTGATGGTCAGGTATCCACAGACTTCTAGACATATAATGTATTTATGAAATACCAGTGGACCAATTCCATGACGTTACAAGAGATCAGGTAGATATGTTTCTGGCTGTTAATGGGCACTGGATGTTTTACAGATGTTGCTCTAACTTGAACGTCATTCATTTTTTCCTCTCTCTTTCTCCACTATATTTTCCCCCTTTCAGGCTGAGATGGGCTAATGGAATGCTGTAAATCCGGCTGTACCTGGCACTTCATATATCTGCTGGTGAAAGTATACAGCCACAGACAGTAAAATAGATTCTTCATGTTTAAAGGAGAACTATGGGGTCAGGGCTTTTCCCCATAGTTCTCATTAGGGTAACGGGAGGACACCAACTAGCGTCCTCCCGTAACCCTAAGCTCAGTATATAGGGAGCTACAGCTCACGGTATACTGAGACTCCGCAGCCGGAGCGGATCCCGACATCGATGTCTGGATCCGCCCAGCTGTGTGACTATCTAGAGGCAGAGCCAGCTGTACCCGCCCCCTCCCCCGTCCGTCAGCGCCAGTCAGGGGGGAATCCAGCCCCTCCCCCTGTCACGGCAGAGAGCTGTGACAGGATCGAGAGGTGAGCGAACGCCGGTATGTGTTCGCTCCGCTCCCGATCTACTGAGCCGACCTGTGACAGTCTCATTGTCACAGGTCGGCTAGAACTATGAGGTGAGTGGAAATTACTCATCTCATAGTTCTCCTTTAATAGTGAAGACAGTTTTTTCTTTGCTAAATCTATGGGACCAGGTTAGGACGATTCCTTGAATGCAAAGACCTTGAGGATTTTCAAAGGTTAACCCTTGCATTGGGGCTACCCCTGCAATGCAAGGGTCAACTGCTTGTTTTGGTCAGTGTCTTGTGTTCACGGTGGTGACGCCGTGTTCAGTGGGTCGCCGAGTGCCTTCCATTTTTCTAGGCGAGAGACTTCTCAGCCTCCCCCTAGGGCAGCACTGTCAGTTCTCGGGCCAAGCAGCCATTAATAAGCTGCTCGGCGTCGAGTGTCAGCTTGAGGTGGGCTGGAGCTATCGCTGCAAGGGAATTCCATCCATACGTGCATTGCTTACAGCTTCCTCGCATGTCCTGTAGAGGTGCCTGGACAGGACTGACGTCACATTCTGGCTCCCACCACCTCCAGAGGGCGCGCAAGGGAGCTGTGCAAGCAATGGACTTGATCCACTCCAGTGTATATGTGTGTGTGTGAGATTGTGTCTGTCAATGTTTTTGAGGGCCCGTTCACACTAGTACAGTGCGGTAATCGACCAGTCCTGTGCGATTAACGCACTGTACCATGCAATCGCATCTACTACACGTTCTGGTGTGGGAGGTGCGTTGTGTTGCCATTCATTTAAATGGCACCCCAAACACAACTCCTGCAAACAGTTCAATCGCCTGCACCGGAACGCACGGTACTGCAATGCAGTGCATTCCATTTCAGTGCGACTTGGGTTGCATCTTAATGACCAAGGACAGATGTGGGTCCTGAGGTTACACAGGTTGAGAACCACTGGTCTAGGGGCACAAATAACAAAAATATACGTACCTGATCCTTGATCCCCCCCTAGCTGATAGACCATTCCCTGAAGCCTCCTCTCCCCCGGGCTCCAGCGGTCTAAGGACCCATGACATCATCACATCTAATATAGGTCCAGAATACCGAGGGGCATATCAAAGCTGGAGCAGACAGGAAGAGAGCTGAGCAGGAGAAAGTAGATGGTGGATGATGCTTGTGACTATTTTTTTTATTTAGTACTGGACCAGATTGGTGTTGGGGAACTCAAGTGACCTATATGGAGCTCCGACCTTCGCCATACTGTGATGAACTGGAACGGCAATTGCGAGCCAGATCTTCTCATCCAACATCAGTACCTGACCTCACAAATGGCCACAAATTCCCACAGACACTCAAGTGGCCTATATGGAGCTTCGACCTTCGCCATACTGGGATGAACTGGAACGCCAATTGCGAGCCAGATCTTCTCATCCAACATCAGTACCTAACCTCACAAATGGCCACAAATTTCCACAGGCACTCTCCAAAATCTTGTAGAAAGCCTCCCTAGAAGAGTGAAGGATATTATAGATGCCAAAGAGGTCAACTCCATATTTGTGTGGTTGAGGAGGGGTTGTGTAGTTCACAGAAGATAGTTGAGAAGGTTGATCACATTGTTTCAGTTCAGTGCACAGGAAGTGACTGGCAGGATCAACAGGAATACCTCTATACCTGCAGATAATGCATCACCACATCTAAATTGCAATGTATTACAATTGTGTTCTCGAGTTTAGATATGCTTTAAGAATCAGCTCATAAAGAGGTTTCATACTTTCAAGGTACAATGGGTTGGGTGTCGTTTTCACATGCTCTCAGCCAATTACCTGCATGGCGCAGCCAGACGACAGCCATGTTGTATTTTTCGGAGCACACCAAAGCGCCGAGCAGAGGCAGAGCAGAGTTATATTCCCCGACTTCAAGAAACGCCTCTGCCACATCCAGATACAAGTCTCCCACTTCTTCTGGATTCTGCTCCATTAGAGACGTCAGCATTGGCTAAGAAAACAATAAGAAATAGAGACCGAGTAATAAAAAGGGTACGGGTTTATATTTCCCCCAAAACGTTGGCTCATATCAGACAACAACCATTCTACATATAACAATGTATACAATATAGATCAGATGGTGGTTATATGAAGGTCCATAGCTTGGCCAAAGTTGAACTTTGACATCTTCACTACAGAAGCCATTAACTTTATTGTTATCACACATGAGGCTGATAGCAACTATGTCTGGGCTGGACAAATCACAAGAGCCAGGTAGCCAATGCTCCTTAAAATTTACAGCTGGCGCCTAACTTATTAAGCGTTTATCTAGTTGGCTCTTGGATTACCACCTACACAGCCTTCTTGACTTCCCATAGGGCAAGGGCAGCCATAGATAACCAAAACATGGCCAAAATCATCGGTGAAGGTTCTCATTTATCCAGGTCATGTTGTAGTCACGTTCAACAGGACTTGCTCTGTGAATGGAAAGATTAACACCTGTGCAGGCTTCTTGAAACTGAGGATGGCATCATGTAAAAGCTGTGGAACACCCCTGTTCTAGTCACATCTTCCATCCTGGTCTTGTTCTGTTAATCGAAGGATTAACACCTATAGAGCCTTCTTGACTTCTCATAGGGCAAGGGCCATGTTTTGGTCATCTATGGCTGCTCTTGTCCCATGAGAAGTCAGGAAGTCTGCATTGGTGTCATCCATTCGATTCACAGAACAAGACAAGTTGATTGTGACTAACTACTACTAAGCTATACCATGACCTGGACAAACGAGACAATCTCGGCCATGTTTTGGTTATCCATGGCTGCTCTTGTCCCACCAGACCTTATATATCCGCCCTTTACATTGCTTTCTCGTTAACGATCAGGCTATGTTCTCCAATTAGCATGGTCAGATCTTCGGCTCTGTAATGAACGTACGAGCACCGTGTGCCCATTGTCATCTCAGCTAAGGAGAGAAAACACAAATACAGGATTTAAATAGTCAAATGACTTACACCAACAGTCTCCAGAATATTGAGATGGATCAAACAAAGCATCATCTTCACGGTAATATCAATGGGTAAGCCTTCCGGTACGTGACACATAACGATTTCTTGAGAATGAAAAAAAAAAAGATATTGAGAAATGGGAAACCAGGTCATAAAATTTACATTTCACTAATCCAATAAAAACTGTTTATTAGGAAGAAGAAAAGAGGAAGTTCAGCTTCCCAACGTTGTCTTCTAGCGCAGGTATGAAAATGACTAGAGGTGCACCGAAATGGAAAATTTAAAACCGAAACGAAACCGAAATAACAAAACAATTGTCAGGCCGAAACCAAAGCTGTATTTTATTTTAATTTTTTCAAAATTTTTAAATATTTTATTTTTATAAACTTTTAAAAGTTTTTATATTTTTATTTATTAAATATTTTTTAAATTAAATATTTTTATTTTTTACTTTACTTTTAGGGGCTTCGGGGAAAGAGCAGGGGTCTAAACAGACCCCCGATAATTCCCTTTTAAAATAGAAAAAGAGATTGAGGACCTAAATCTCTTTTTCTGCAGCCTCCTCAGAGACACAGAGTCCTCAGAGACACAGAGTCCTCAGAGACACAGAGTCCTCAGAGACACAGAGTCCTCAGAGACACAGAGTCCTCAGAGACACAGAGTCCTCAGAGACACAGAGTCCTCAGAGATACAGAGTCCTCAATCTCTTTTTCTGTATCCCCTGTTATCAATGAACAGGAATCCTCTATGAGTGTTCCTGTTCTTTGATAACATGAGGACATGGTATGTTTACTATAACTACAACTATGAATGGACAGGAAGTGATGTAGATGTGATGTAGATCACTTCCCATTCATTCATAATTGAGGATATAGTAAACATACCGTGTAGCCAATTATGTACAAACACTCAGCGATCACTGACCGCTGAGTGTTTGTACCCGCTCTCCTCTCCGACACGCTGTCACAGGAGGCTGATCGTGTGATGCAGGGGGGAGAGCTCAACCTCCTGTGACAGCGCGGCTTGTCTCCGCCCACACCGCTATGCTGGATTGTGATAGGTGGCTGAGCGGTGTGGGAGGAGAGACGCCGGCCTCCCGCAGCGCTCGGCCGGCTGTTACACGTTCTCTCCTCCTGCCACAGAGCAGCGCCCCGAGCGGGGAGAAAAGAAATCACGGATGCGCCGATGTATCGGCAGGAAAATTGCACTTTCGGCATTGTGCCAAAAGTGCCATTTTCGGCCGATATGTTTCGGCGGCCGATATATATCGGTGCGTCCCTAAAATTTACCTTTGGCTGAGAACTCCATTGAACCCAATTTTATATAAATCAGCCGAGTTAGAACGGCGTGCACAGGCACGTGCGCACACAAAGCCTGATCCGAATGGGAATGCTCACACAATAAACTGTCTGAATATTCACTTCAATTAGCACTCAATGGTTCCTCCTGCTGACCTCTGTGCCCTGTAATGACCTGAAGGTGAGGAAAAGGAACCTGTAAGACGGGGAGGAGGACCCTAGAGGTTTTAATTTCCCAGCAAACTTTAGAGGACCATTACTGGTGAACAGAGTTGAGTTTGAATCAGCAAGTGGAGCTTTAGGCTCCCTTTCCCATGCTCTCGGTTTGCTTCTTTGATGTAAAGTATGTTCTATATAAATCTCAACAGCTTGCATTGAAATTTACACTCATGTAAATGTAGATCGGTAACTCCTCCCTTATCGTGGGTCTCTGTCAGAACTTTCGGTCACATTATCCAAAGCCCCAAAAAGGCACAGCTTCTATTGCGCTGCTTCTTTGGAATCCAGGGTGCTCTGGGAATCCTTTGTCATGTATAAAATATTTATTTATAAAAACAAAGGTTGTATGGAGACAGTACAAAAGATATATAATGGTGTAAAGTTCAGCCGAAACGTCAGTTTAAATCATCTCCGGGTGTATAAAAACAAAAAAGGTGAGAGTAGAAGAGCCTGTCCCCTGCCAGCATGCTGCTGAGTAGGAGCCTTGATCTCTGTGGAAGCAGTGGTCTCCCTCCAGAAGTCTGACACAACCCCTGCTGGAGCTCTCCAATCAGCAGGAAGGGTTACGGTTATGTGGCTGTTACCAGTAACAATATTAATGAATGAAGACTGCAACCGCTGTCCGCAGGCTTAATTCGTACAGGAGGAAGCAGAGGTCCGACCTATAACCCCTGCCGAGTTAAACCTATAGCTCTGCAGTATGTAAAGCTCATGCTCCCTCCTGATTGGAGAGCTCTAGTTCTGACTCAGCAGGGAGCATGTTGGAGCTCTGGAGAGGGACCACTGCTTCCTGATAGAGAGCAATGGTCCTTCTCCGCAGCAGGCTGCCAGGGCACAGGCTTTTCTACTCAGGCTGTGGCTGCTTCCTTAAAGAAAGGAATGGTCCTTCTATGTAGCATGTTGCCAAGGCACAGGCTTTTCTACTGAGGCTGCTTCCCTATAGAGAGCAATGGTCCTTCTCTGCAGCAGGCTGCCAAGGCCCAGGCTTTTCTACTCAGGCTGTGGCTGCTTCCTTAAAGAAAGGAATGGTCCTTCTATGTAGCATGTTGCCAAGGCACAGGCTTTTCTACTGAGGCTGCTTCCCTATAGAGAGCAATGGTCCTTCTCTGCAGCAGGCTGCCAAGGCCCAGGCTTTTCTACTCAGGCTGTGGCTGCTTCCTTAAAGAAAGGAATGGTCCTTCTATGTAGCATGTTGCCAAGGCACAGGCTTTTCTACTGAGGCTGCTTCCCTATAGAGAGCAATGGTCCTTCTCTGCAGCAGGCTGCCAAGGCCCAGGCTTTTCTACTCAGGCTGTGGCTGCTTCCTTAAAGAAAGGAATGGTCCTTCTATGTAGCATGTTGCCAAGGCACAGGCTTTTCTACTGAGGCTGCTTCCCTATAGAGAGCAATGGTCCTTCTCTGCAGCAGGCTGCCAAGGCCCAGGCTTTTCTACTCAGGCTGTGGCTGCTTCCTTAAAGAAAGGAATGGTCCTTCTATGTAGCATGTTGCCAAGGCACAGGCTTTTCTACTGAGGCTGCTTCCCTATAGAGAGCAATGGTCCTTCTCTGCAGCAGGCTGCCAAGGCCCAGGCTTTTCTACTCAGGCTGTGGCTGCTTCCTTAAAGAAAGGAATGGTCCTTCTATGTAGCATGTTGCCAAGGCACAGGCTTTTCTACTGAGGCTGCTTCCCTATAGAGAGCAATGGTCCTTCTCTGCAGCAGGCTGCCAAGGCCCAGGCTTTTCTACTCAGGCTGTGGCTGCTTCCTTATAGAGAGCAATGGTCCTTCTATGTAGCATGTTGCCAAGGCACAGGCTTTTCTACTCAGGCTGTGGCTGCTTCCTTATAGAGAGCAATGGTCCTTCTTTGTAGCATGTTGCCAAGGCACAGGCTTTTCTACTCAGGCTGTGGCTGCTTCCTTATAGAGAGCAATGGTCCTTCTATGCAGCATGCTGCCAAGGCACAGGCTTTTCTACCGAGGCTGTGGCTGCTTCCTTATAGAGAGCAATGGTCCTTCTCTGAGAGGGACCACTGCTTCCTTATAGAGAGCAATGGTCCTTCTCTGCAGCAGGCTGCCAAGGCCCAGGCTTTTCTACTCAGGATGTGGCTGCTTCCTTATAGAGAGCAATGGTCCTTCTCTGAGAGGGAACACTGCTTCCTTATAGAGAGCAATGCTCCTTGCCTGCAGCATGCTGCCAAGGCACAGGCTTTTCTACTCAGGCTGTGGCTGCTTCCTTATAGAGAGCAATGGTCCATCTCCGCAGCATGCTGCCAGGGCACAGGCTTTTCTACTCAGGCTGTGGCTGCTTTCTTAAGTAAATGAACTGTAAGACTTTGTATACCTGTTGTTTTGATATATTTTTAGCCTTGACCAATAACCATTATAGTTTCCTTTGAACCAGTGCATTATATAGCTACCTGAGCCCTCCTCGGTGCTTGTGGTCTCTTTTTTGTTCAGCGTTATTCCGGAAAACTGTGTTATGACCTTTGGGAGAAATTAGTACATTGTATAAAACCACACAGCCCAGTGAAGGATGAACTTGGTACAATAGAACACTATAAATACACGCATACAGCACTGCCATACTCAATTTAATTACTATTCCCACAATTCAAGAGACGCGAGTCCTCCACGCAGTGTGTCAAAAGAACCGGGAGGTCTCTTCATTGTGGAGTCATGCCGAGCAGAGATCCTGGAACACCACAAAGCATTCTGTGCCACCATTGCTTAAAGGAGAATTATGAGGCGAGTGAAAATCACTCAGCCTCATAGTTCTAGCCGACCTGTGACAATGAGACTGTCCCAGGCCGGCTCAATAGATCGGGAAGTGAGCGAACACATACCGTCGATCGCTCACTTCTCGATCCTGTCCCTGCAGAGAGCCGTGACTGTCACTCACGGCTCCATGCAGGGATTCCCCCCCTCCCCGATCCTCAAGCGCTGACTGGCGAGACGGACGGGGGAGGGGGCTGGTACAGCTGGCTCTGCCTCGAGATAGGCAGAGCCAGCTGTCAATCACGCAGCTGGGTGGATCTTGACAGTAATGTCGGGATCCGCCCCGGCTGCGGCGTCTCAGTATACCTCAAGCTGTAGCTTGCTATACACTGAGTGGCTGGATTATTATATACACCGAGTGGCCGGATTATTATATACACTGAGTGGCCTGATTATTATATACACTGAGTGGCCGGATTATTATATACACCGAGTGGCCGGATTATTATATACACCGAGTGGCCGGATTATTATATACACCGAGTGGCCGGATTATTATATACACCGAGTGGCCGGATTATTATATACACCGAGTGGCCGGATTATTATATACACCGAGTGGCCGGATTATTATATACACCGAGTGGCCGGATTATTATATACACCGAGTGGCCGGATTATTATATACACCGAGTGGCCGGATTATTATATACACCGAGTGGCCGGATTATTATATACACCGAGTGGCCGGATTATTATATACACCGAGTGGCCGGATTATTATATACACCGAGTGGCCGGATTATTATATACACCGAGTGGCCGGATTATTATATACAC